TTCTTCTGTTTTTCTTTTTATATTAGTAAGCACAGTTCTTTGGTCGGGTAGTTGCAAAGTAGGAATTTCATTACCCAATAATAAACGGCTGTGTCTGTTATTGTGTATATGACAAATAAACATCTTGAATCTTGAATCTTTAGTCAGGTCCTCACAAAGTGTAACTAGGTACATGGTTGTGAGATGATTACTGAGAGATGAAAGAGTCAACCACTCATTTCTGATAAACCAATGGTTTTGGACTTTTTCTCTCATTGTTACTTCTTATCATCCTGCATATACTGCAGAGGGATATAGTGATGAGAACGTCTGTACATCCACCTGTAATCATTTTGTTTAATGAAACATCACAATGATCAGGCAGTGAAGAAGAAAACTTTCGATTATTTGGGTTTTATGTGAGAAATATCTTCGGGTAACTGTGATAACACATTATCTACTCTTCCAAGTTTTGTTGGTGTGGGGTGAGTCGTCCAAGGTCCAGGTTGCAATGGCCTGACAAAATATGCTTTATTTGCTTTGACTAACAAATTAATTGATTTGATCTTTGTGGTCCAAGGGCGAGCTTTGGGCCACTTGGATGTGATGCACCTTAGCTTGGATTCAAAGATATACTGATTCAATTTGTGTGGTAGGTAAATGTCACAGTGACCTGTTCTCAATGAAATAAGTTTAGTTTATAATATAAAGTGGATTCACTCTTTAGCGAAGACATTTAAAATGTTATAAGGGGCCTCAACTAGACATTGCCTGGTATGTAACAAGAGAAACTATTGGTTTAATCTTTAAGGCTTCACTGTTTTTCCTAAGGCTGTTGTAACACCATCTGCTTTTCTACAGGCAAAGTTTCATTCAAAAACACAATGGGAATATAAAGTAGCATGAAACGAAAATACTCAGCAAAGTCATCAAGACACATAACACCAGCACTAGTCTGGTGGGCACTGGGGGGGTCTGTGTTTTCTCTCTCTGGCCTTAGAGCGCACAACAAGATTCAATAGATCCACTGAGCATTGCGCACAGAGCTGTGTTCCAGACTAAGCGTGTTTTGATCCAGACTATCAGCAGGCCGTCAGTGCACCGGCAGTGCGGCTGTGTCCCGGCTTTGAGCATCCTAAAAATATCCCGCACCAAGCACGCGGATCAAAGGGGGCAGCAACACCGCCACGAATCCCGCCCCGGCATTTAACCTAAAGCCTCTCAGAGGAGGAGCGAGAGGAGGGAAGGAGGAAGAGGAGCAGGGCCCGGGGCTTCCAGAGCAGAGGAGAGAGAGAGAGAGAGAGAGAAGGAGGGAGAGAGGGGGAGGCTGGCTCGGGTTTCAGAGACGCGCACTGACTGACGGACTGACCTACGGCACATAGTGGAAGCGCTCCGACGTGAAGCAGCGAATGGGACAAACGGAGCAGAACGCACAGGAATAAGCGCAACGTGCCCGAGAACTCAGGAGCATCACTGACTGACTGATGACACTGCACAGAATGTCTTCTGTCTTAACTTTACTCTAAGTTACTCATCCGAGTGCAACCAGGTAGTCTGCTGTGGGGACAGTTTGAAGAAGACGCGCAGAGAGGGAGACAGAGAGAGAGAGAGCCTCTCATTATCTCCAAAGTTGCAGGTCCTCTTCTGCTGCTCTTCACCAGATGAGTATAGGAGATAGTGTTTGGATAAATCCAAAGTTAAAAGTCTGAAATGGAACAGGATCAGAAGTGGGGAGTCTCTGGACAGACGGGTGAGCAGTGGAGGAGTGGCAGCGATCAGCAGGAGAAGAAAGCTTCGCGGCAGCCTCTCTGGAGGAATTGGAGAGATCTGTCCGGCGTTACGCTTTGCATCGCCGTGTCCGTCCTGTGCCTTGGAGTTTGCGTTGTGGTTTTTGTGCGCGCCTCGGAGCTGCAGTCCAGGGTGTGGAGCCTGGAGCAGCGGGACGCGCAGTTCTCCGCGTGGAGGGTGTCTCTGGAGCAGGTGGAGCCCATTATCCTGGGCAGACTGGACCAGATCCTGGAGGAGGTGAGCGCGTCACTGCATCCACACCATTCAGCGGCAGCTTTCTGTTTATTAAAAAAGAGCAACAGTTGTGTTCTGTCGCACACGTTTCAGTTTAGACTCCACAAGTTTTCTGTATGAGACAAGAAGCCGCAGGGCCGTCTCTAGACTTTTTGGTACCCTGGGTTAGATGTCCACTGGCTGCCCTGGAGTGGGGGCTGTCTGGTTTGAATATTTTATGACATTTGAATTAATTGCAAAATAAGTAAGTGTTTAAAATGTAACTTGTGTTCTGTGTCATAACTTCATCCCCATCATGTCTATCGCTTGTTATTCTGGTTTTTAACCATAGTCATGCACTGGCTCAGGAGGTAGAGTGTGTCATCTACCAACCAGAGGGTCAGCAGTTTGATTCCCTCTCCCCCATCTCTCGTTGGGCAAGATACTGAACCGAATCATCCTTGACGGCTTCTGCGCCAGCAAGTGATGATAGAGAAAGTGATAGAGAAAGTGCTGCACATAGATGCACTGTATGAATGTGTGTATGTGAATGGGTGAATGGTAAAACTGTACCGTAAACCGTTATCAAGACTAGATAAGCATTTAACATTTAACACACACAGTTCATCTGTGTCTGTGCTGCTTCTCCATCTGTAATGGACCTTGCAGATGGTGTTACAACAGCCAACAGTTCATAAGATAAAATACTTTTTACCCACACTAAGAGACAGGACGTCAGTGTGATAGTCTTTTGCAGAATGAAGGTCTGGACACAACAACAACATAGCAACATTCTACATGTGTGTTCAGCACCTAAATGCCACTGAAACAACCAGAACAGTAGACTGCTGGCTTCTTCTACTTCTGTTCTGGTTGAACTCAAACTATGCTGTGTTTCCGTATTTTGAGACTGTGCAGCGCACTCGCTCTCAAAGCCTTCAGCCTTTTAATAGATCCCAGTGGTGAGATTTCGTCAGCTGCCCGTGTCCTAACATCAATGAAATAAATGGGATATCATGGGGCAGTTTAACTGTTTATCATGACAGGCTTTCTTTTGTTAAACCTGCAGTATACTTGATATTTTCAGTAAATATAAGTAACCTGGTTGTTAATGTAGCAGTGTGGGCAAATGTACCGCAGGGTCAGAAAGGTGGATTCTGTGAGTCAGCCGTCAGCAGAGTGTCCTTCTGCAGTCCGCCTATAGAGTCCTCTAAGTGCCAGGTGTTTAGTGCAATGTGAGAAGTTATATATTTTTTAACAATGTAAAGGAGGCACTATGGTCAGTGACAGACGTCTAAATTTACATCAGGAGAAAACCAAGCAGCAAAATATGTCTTCTTCCTCTTTGGTGCCTCTTCAGCTGGTGGCGTCCTAGGTGGGTCATGCCTCAAACTAGCTTTAACAAGTCCCTAAAATAACCTTAATGAATTCCTCTGATACCTTTTTTTACCTGAAACACATCAAGACAAGCACTTATCCAGAGGTCCCCTTTATTTGTCCAATAATGTATAAAGATGAAAACTAAACAAATAGAAAATGGTTTAATTGCAAAACCTGTTGATTTGATTTAATGGGTTGTTAAAACCTTTTTTTTCGTTTACCAATTGAAGTTGCTGTAAAGATTGGGTATTTGGATTGTATCAATGGTGTAAAATAATTTAAGGTGCAAATTAATCAGTGATAACATTGGATTCATTGTGCATTTAGGTTTGAGACGGATTCAGGCAAGATAAATGGAGTGTTATATGTTCAGGGGCTTGGCATTGTCTGCACAGTTCAAGAGATTAAAGAACCCTGTTTCTGTATTTGGTCAGTTTTAATTATTAAATAATTAATGAATAATTTTTTTTTATCATTATGCAGCCCTTAAACTCAGCATATACAATAATCGATGAGAACACAGAACGTTCCCTCAGTTACCCTGTAAATATAATAATCATTTTACTATTAACTAGATTGGCACTGAGGCTAGAGCGCACACTTTCACCAAGCTCAAGCACTCATAGTCAAAACTCATAGTCAGTGATATATATACATATATATTATTCATTGATATCCATTACTCCCTGGGAAATATATGTAAATACCAACCAAGGAAAAAAGAATATTGCAGCCTCAATGTTCAGCAAGTAATAAAAAAATTCTAGATGCATGCCAAAACTATAACAGGTTCTTTTTTGGCCCATGTCCCATCCTTCCGCCAGGTTTCATGGAGATATGTTCAGTAGTGTCTGCACAATCCTACAGACAAACAAACAAACATTAACAAAACCACAACCTTCTTATCCGAGCTAATTATAAGCACTAAGTGACGTCTAACTGATTCACAACACATCAGTAAATTTGTCATTAAGCATTGAAAAGTCATTAGAAACAACTAATAAACACTCACTGCAGGCTGCCTCGTTTGAAAGTGAAATGGTAAACACCGACCAAAAGGCTTTTTTACAACCTAACAACCCAAAACCTATTTTTCTCAATGATTACCCACTGATGTACAAAGATCAAAGACTGATACAGCAATGTTCCCGCACATTAGTGATTTTTACACAGCAAGTTGTACATGTGTTATAAACATCATGCGTGTAGCCTCACCGAGACACCTCGGCCTGTGTCGCTCCCAGAGTCGCCCTCTGTGTTGCCCTTTCACTGACCTCTTCCACAGCTACACTAACAAGTTCTTCCACGGTGATTGAAGTCCCACAGGGACCCGGTTTTTTCTTCTTCCGTTTGCTTTGACCTAACTTTTATCACCCCCACACCCCCCCCCCCACCACTCTCTCCACCCTGAACCCACTTCACGAGGACCAGTGCGATGCACTTACCAGTAGAGGAGCTGAGGTCAGAGTGTTAACAGGGCAACAGCCCCGATGTTCAAACTACTGAGGTCATGAGCCCAAGTCACCTGAACTCCCCCCCAGTAATTCTGAATGACTGTCAATGTGAAGACAGCACAAACCCAGACGCTCAGAATAAAGCTGAGATGGCAGAAGGAGAGTCCGATATTCAGATGTCGTACTTCACATACATGTTCACAAATAGAACATAGTGAGATTGATGTAGTATTCAATCAAAGGTGCCGGTGATAGAGTCCTGTTAGAGTGCCTAGTGGGGGAAGAGTCTCTCCGTCTTCGTTTCCAAACGGAACCGGGGGCAATGCAGCCCACCTCTTTGTTTAGCTCTGTGTGTAAACATAGTCATTACTAATGGGACACAACCCTAACCCTGGCCTTTTGAGAGCACGTCTGTGGTACTTTCACCCAACACTGTGCAGAATCCATCGCCTTGTCTCCCCCGATGATGTCCAGTTTCCTCTGTTTTGGAAAATGTGCCCCGTTCCAGCAACACAGACTTGGTCCTTAGTCAAATTTGGATTTCAGCAGAAGCCATTAGCTCACTGATGTTTCCAGTCAGTTCTGTTCACAGTCAATTATGTCACCTTTCAGGGCTGTAACGAGCTTTTGTGTATCTTATCACCTTATCATTAACAGCACACTACACATTTTAAACTAAAGTGTTAAAAGCACATTCATTAATGTGTTTTTGTTTGGTCGCACTGTTCCCTCTTTACCATAAACACACGTCCGGCACTTATTTAGACTCAGTTCCAGAAAACACCACCCTGCAGCGTCAGTCTCACCCACATTAAATCTGTACTAATTCACCACCGAAAATAGTCTCCAACAAATGCACCATGCAAACGTCCGTCTGATTATTTTTTATGAAAACAACAGATTCCTGCTGCGTTCCTGAGCTTTTAAATTAAACAATTTATTTGTGAGCTGTGTTTAAGATTGATGTCTTCAGAGGGAGCCCATTGACCTGGAGCAGAGAGCGACAGGCAGAGTAAAAACTGTATAGCCCATTACATTAAATGACAACAGTGAGAGCAGTAACTGAGCACATCTTCCAGAAGAGACCAAACACTTGGTGATTTAACAACCTTCAGCCTGAGAATCTCAGCGACGTTTACAGAGGTGCTGGCAGATTCATAAATGGCTGTTCATCAATAAAAAATCACGAGGTTATATAACATTTGAATGTGATACAAAGCTGCTTCCGGTCTTTAACAAGTTAGGCAGTATATTTTATGTAAGGACATGATATCAGTATTACTCTTTAGTGTGTTTATGAGTTTTGTAGGTGGATTATCTGCAAAGCAGAGGGGGTCACTGCAAGTTCAATATAATAGTATCCTCTTATTAATCGCCTAACCTTAGTAAAAATATAAGGGTTCACACTGTGATGATATATCTTTAAAATTTCCAGGCCTGGAGAAGTTTTGGAGAAAATGAATAAATCCAGAAAGATTTGGAAAACTCATGTAAATTGACTTCAGAAATACTTGTATGACAGAGTTTATTTACAAAACATGGACTGTGCAGTGAAACCTTTGGCATTTAGAGAAAGGAAGAGCTAAGCCAGAGGCGGCTGCTGCTGCACGAGAACCAGCTCTCAACCTGATCCCCCAGCTTTTTTAGCCCAGTGATCAACGTGACTTTTGCTGCCAGCGACTACGCTTCCCTTTGTGTCCGCCATCAAAGGAGGGAAAGATTCAAGGTGCTGTAATCAGTATTATATATATATATCATATCATATTCCCCAAACAACCACATAGCTGCCAGACATATTGAAACAAAGATCATATATCACGTTATTTTTCATTTATGCATTAAAAGTTCAGAGAATGTATTGCCATGAAGAATGTCCCTCCTTTTCCTCGTGGTTAAATGTATTTGTTACAATGTAAGAAACCTTTAAAACCTTAAAAAGATCTGTACAACCAAAACAGATTTTCCTATTTTGAAAAGAAAAAATTTAGTATGCGTGAGAGTTCATGGCCCCTCATAACTGCAAATTCTAGACAGGTGTCCAAGTTAAAAATAAGCTTTGTGAGGTGCTTGAATTCAGTCATTCCTCCCCCTAAATAACAACCATACCCTTAACAACACCACAGAAAACACCCTGACCCCCCTGACCTCCCCCCTCTCCCTGTCTTTATCTCACCCCAAACATGGCCCCTTCAACATTTGCAATTAACCACTAAGTGCTCTCTGCAGATCTGGTCGAAGCCCGGTGCACATAGTTAGTGCAGAGGCATGATGGGAGCTGGAGGCCACATTGCGAGTTGTGGAAATGTAAAAAATATAGTCTCCCACTGCTCTCCTGTCCTCACTGTGCTCTGCAGTGCTGTCACCCAACACGCTGTGAGGTCTGCACACACACACACGCACACACACACACACACATGTTTACGTCCCCTACGATGTGTGTGTGTGCGTGTGTCTTTGTGGGAGTACACACGTGCTAATCAGACAGCCTAATGCAAACAGCACACTCATGTAGAAGTGCTTGAGCTGCCTCTGCATTTCGTCAGCACAGTTAGAGATGACTACACACACACACACACACAGACACACACACACAATGAGAGTGATATGTTGATCTGTTACAGTTGGGCCTGAGACAAAGCAGACATGCTGACAGTTGTAGAAATTTAGAAGATTTACGGCACAGTCAGAATTTACAATGAATAAGTGTATGCGTGTTTTCCTAATGAAAACATTAGGTCACTGTCATGAAAAAAAAGAATCAATAAGACATCTTATATACAGTATTAAATTCTTTGGGAATGTGTGATTGATGATACCTCTGTGTTATAATGAGGCTGCTGGATAAATCAACTCGATGAAAGGGGGTGTAGAATTCAAGCTTCAGTTGCAAGAGGCTTCAGAACCCCACAAAACTCAGAAAAGTGCTGAACTCCTGACACCACATCTATGCTTGCTGCTGTCTCTCTGTCTCTTTAACTGATGGCTCTGTTTAAACTCTACAACAGTACTTACTATTAGAGTTTGAACACTGTGATCATAATAAACTCAAACTTGCCAACACACAAAAATATCTTTGTCCAATCAGGTGGAGTCTGGCTGAAGTCATTTTAAATATCCCTAAACAATGAAATGGAATCACATAAAATGGATTTGATCAAATGATTGTTTCTAGTTGAAGATTAATTGTTTTTGGTTGCTTTGCAGTGTCCAATATAAAGTGTTTAGTTCAAAATGTGATTTGAATTTTTTTCATTACGATCAAATTTCAAATGAAAACTGAAATGCTAATACTTAATAATTTAAAGTCTGTAAAGCATGGCAGTGTCATGATGATGATAACGATACTTTCTATTGTTAGTTGTAGACAATATTCCATATTTTTTGTTCAAGCTGTACTTTTATTATGTCCTGACTAGCTCCTTCAAATTGCATTAAAATGCAAATCTATTTTTAATGTAATTTAATAAATGTTTGTGACTGGTTTTAGACAAGGTTGTAAAATGAATTTTACTTTTCATTCTAAATGTGCACGAACTATGTTTTTGTGCACTCAAAAAGGCAAAAAACGACAAAAAGGGTTAGTTTGTATAGTCATATTTTTTTATTGTTTTCTGATCTTTCTATTTAGATTTCTGAAGTGAGAGGGAGGAGAAGTGAAGGGAGTGTGCTGTATGTAGCAGCAGCACCAGGTGGTACAGTTCATCAGACAGCAGGATAATAAAAGGTTTAGTTATCCCTTTAAAATAGAATGTTAAAACCACATCAAAAACTGGCATCGGGTTACAATTTCTAAAGCGAGAGGCAGACAATGACACCCCCTCACCCCTTCTCACCCCCTGCTGCCCAATTGGTCACTCTGACAGAGCTTCAGAGGCCAAATGGTGTTTCTCTGGTGTTATGAGACACAGACAGAACTCTTTGATGTGCTATAGATTATTAGGTCATTGTTTGTTCGTGCTATTGCCACTTGTATTAGTTAATATAAATTCAAAAGCAACACATTTGTTCTGTGAATAGTGGATGTTGAGGACTTTTGTCAGTTTCAACCGTGTTTTTGACCTTTTTAAGTGGAAGGGTACCTCTAACTGTGGTCACATCTGTACTCTCTGAGGCCGGTGAATATGTGGAGGCATAAATGAAAGGCTAATGACAGTCTTTGATGTATGCTCATTAGGATTCGCTCCCTCTGGCAGACTACTACTACTGTGACCTTATGTAGTTGTAGTTGCAGCTCCTTTTCCAATAACCCACAGCTATAGTCCAGTCAAACCTCCACCCTGCGCTATCTCCATTATCTGGTTTGGAGAATGCATTTCTCAGTCGCGTGACTTCAGTTTGGACCGTAGAGAGATCTGGCTGCACAGCTCTCTGGGTTAGTCTTACTAAAGGCTTCTCTAGTTGTCAGTGCAGTTTTTCAGTGTCAGCTTAAAAAAATCTGTATAATATATTAACTTTTTAAACTGGACAATCAGACAAGTCAACTTTGACAACTGTCTGGAGGAATGATTGTAAGCAGGTTTGGGTTTTGGTTCAGGTTCTCACCCCAACCAGTAGAGGCAGATGGCCGCCTGCATTGAGTGGGATTCTGCTTGAAGTCGTGTGCTTCTCACTGTGGAAATGTCTTGACCTTAATGTGTAGCCTTGAGATAATGTGTGATTTGGCACTATACAAGTAAAATATAATAGAAACGAATGTCTCGGATCAAAGTTGACATCCAAGTGAAGCAATACTGCAATTTGCTTTGCCACATGAAGCAAATGTTTTATTCACCCCCTCACTTGCAGAGATTGGAGGAGAATGTTCACCTTTAAAACATTCATGTATCTGTGACCAGGATCTTAGTCCATTGAAAGGTTGTGCGCTTAATGATCCCTGATCTTTGGCTTTCGTCTTATAAACCAGGAAGATGTTAGTGAGGTAGCTAGTACCCAGAATACTGCAGCAGTGCTCAGAATCACTGTGTCATTATATCATTCCCTTCAGCACTTGTTGTAGCTCTCTAAACAGCCTGCCCTGACATTCCTCTGCTTGTAACCTCTGCCAGTGGGACTGACTTCGCTGCATACTCGTTGTGTATTCTGTTCAGGGTCAAATCGCACACAGGCTTTTGTTGGTCTAATGAGATCAACTGTCACACTCTGATACTGAGAAAGACTAAAAGGTGTTAGCAGGCCCTTTAGCTCAACAATACCAAACTAAATTGGAATGTTTTTACGTAAATTAAAGTGTTGAACTGTAATTGTCACTGTAATTGCAGCTATTAGCTTGAAGGTCCTCGATGAGATGTGGTAAAGGGCTCACAGTCGTGTAGGGGAAGTTTATAAACCTGCCAAAAAACATGGATTATAGGCAAAAACTATTAATTTGTTTATCTTTGCTGATGCTGACCTACTGTTTGCAGAATGTTTGTATTGTATCATTTTTAATTATGATCCTGCCTCTCAGTCAAGATACTTGTTTCTAAAATAAGATCGTAATTCAGGGTTCACTACTTTTTAAACAGGAAGAGTGTAGGCTGGTTGTTACACCAATCAGGAGGTGGTGTTTTGATCCATGGCTGAAAACAGGCTACATCCACACTAATATGCTATGTCTTCAAAACACATCACTTCTGCTAGTTTTATGTCTGACTTCCACAGTTTTTAAACCACTAAAACTGGGAGCTTTGGAAAAGCTGCCGGCCCCAATATAGTTTGAAAACAGGCAGAAATTAAGATTGGGTCTTCACTCGACTAGCAGCAGTGAATGCAGCGTGTTACTAACTCTTACTTATTCGTTGTCGGTCTAAGAGAATAAATCCCTGATCTTAGTTTTCACCATTGCCCATTTCTGAAATGCCTGTGCTGTCAGTGTATAAATGGGTTGTATGAGTAACAGCACAGTGTGAATGTGATAATTTGATATTTTGAATTTTAAGGGCTTTGTGGATTAATTTAAATTTTGTTGGGCTATAGACATTTCACAACGGGTGAAACACGATGCTACGATGTTAAAGTGAATTCTGATCTCGTCCTTTTCTTGTGCAGAAGCTTGCGGCGCGGCTACCAAAGACACGGGAGGTGAGAGAAGCTCCCCACAGCTGCCTTTGTCCCCCAGGTAAGTTCCCCACCTCCATCCATCCACACGTTTTTCAGTTTACTGAAAGATTTGACTTCACACACACAAAGCACATGGGCCTCAGATGAATTTATCCACTCAAACTGCTAAATGCTAAAATGTACGTCTGCAAGTTTAGCTTCCAAATGTTGCTTTCCACCGGATATTCAATATTTAGACATCGAATACAGAAATGAGCAAACATTGAGTAAATGGTGTCCTTATAAGAAAATTTTTTGTTGATCTCCCACCAAGTTCAACTGAGCCCCTGTTGATCCATACATGCTTGAAGTGCTGCCAAAGGCCAAGAGAGATTTTCACCAGCCATTAGTTTTATACATTTGTACTTTGCCTTGTTTTCATGAGTGGGTTTATTTTTTCCACTTTCCAGATAAATCTCTGATAACCATAGGTGTTCATTCTTTGTTCATCAGTTTAGTGACAGATGGTTACTGAGACATTTGCTGTTTTAAAAGAAACAGACAGGTGATATAAGAAAATGTGTCATGAAAAGGTAGGCAGCTGCTGAGATGGCTTATGGTCCAACTTTAAATATCTGAATATAAGTTGATAATAATGTCACATGAAGAATCAAACCAAAGTGATATTGTTTGCATTCCCTATTTACGTCTATTTTTGATGTTCTTGATGATGATGTCCACCGGGCTCCTCGCTCTAACACTTGTGCCCTTCAGCTGGCTCACACATGATGACAAGCATGAGGTGCATTTCCTATTCAGCTGGCAGCTGGAGGCCATTTTGTGTCATATTAGGTCATGACACAGGCTGGCATGATGAGATGGCGTCACTGAGGCATTCCTGGATGAGCAGCCACATTAGTCAGTATAAGAACTCGAGTACAAGCTGTGAAAAAGTGTCAGCGAGGCGGTCCGCGTTGCTGCCACTCCACCTCTGATGGCCTGTGTCTCTTTCTGGATTCACTGCCCCTGTCTGACATAATCGAATTGGCCTATGAAATCCAGGAGGTTTTTGGAACTAAAAATACTCAGTCAGTGTTGTACGCTTGAGAATGTCTGAGTAAACTCCTTCAGTGTCTGAAGCCACCTGTTTCCCCCAGACAGTCGTCATTAAGTCGTCAGTTGGACAAGCACCGTGTCTGTGTGTGTGTGTGTGTGTTGACTCTTGCACTGTGTTCTGGTTTTGGACAGACGAAGAGATGGGAAGGACACTCATGTCTGTGAGCGTTCATGTCACAGTTGATGGAGTGAGGGACATTATTGTTGATACATGGTGAAATTACCTTCAATGACAGATCTTTGATTGCCTTCTGCATATTATTTAGTAGTTTGTAATGGATACATTTCATTTTACTTAATATGAAATCAACATAACATAAACTTTTGTTCTTTTGTACACCAGAAATAAATAGATATAAATGCAGTTGGACACAGAAATCATAGAAACAGCAGACTGTTGATGCTATTTATGAATTGTTTGTCTTTTTGTACATTTTCTGAGATTTGTGTGTGTGTGTGTGTGTGTGAGCCCCCTATGAGAACAGGCTCGCCACACATTAGTGTTAATTGGTCTGGACAATAGGATGTTAGTGTTGTTAACATGGCAGTAAGTGTCTGTGGGACGGACTGTGAATGAGCTTAAGGTGGCAGTTTGCAGGCAGCTTCACAGGAAGTTCTCCAGGTGTGGAGGTCTTTCATCTCAGAGCTGCCAGATGGTCTGACACTTTTACAGCTTCATGTGACTTTCTGTGCTCCCACAACAGGTAGTGAGTGGGAGTCCGGGAGCAGGAGGGTTTTGTGTGGTCAGATCTTTTGTCAGCCAAAACTGCCGGACCACCTAAAATGAATGTTTTCTATTTTGTTTCTGTTCCCCTGCAGTAAATGTTTGAACAGGAGATTTAAGGAATCCCAACCCTGCCTGTTACACTTTCACAGATGTCTAAAGTGTTCATCCTTTATAGTTTGATCAAGTAAAAACTACGATTTCCACGAATCTTGGTGGAATAATGTCATATGAGGCAGGGAGATTCTATTAAATGCCAATCTGGATCATGGGGTGGATCCAGAATTGTATTTTTCTTTGTTTAACATTGTGGGTGTTTTTCAACATTCTTAGATTATAATTAATAAATCTAGATGAAAAAAATAGACGTTGTTAATAGTAATAGATGTTTAGGGAACTGTTTGTCAATTTGGTGCAGATCCAAAAAAACATGGATGTAGTGAATTTAAATGTGGTTTCATAAGGAGAATGGCAGAGGTGTGCTCTGCTCTGAGTGTCCTTCTTGTTTAATGTTTTGGAAAAGTAGGCAAGATCTGACTGTGTGCTGTTGAGTCTATGGGCGTGAGCTCATGTTGTTTAATTTTAGTCAAATAAAATTGATGAAAAGAAGTAAGCAGTATGCTAAACTAAGCTAAGCATGACTTATGTGTCTTGGACAAACTGAGCAAATGCTCTTTTTAATAAAAGTGTTAGAGTGAGCATGATGTCTGTTACCAATACGCTTTTGATTTCAATAAGCCAATAACCTTCTGTGTACCATCAGGTAAGTTGATCATAAGAGTTTCTGTTGTGCCAAAAGTGCATTCTGATGTTTGATATGAACATTAATTTACCTCAATCTGCAGGGTTTTCTATATCGTACTTCTGTAACACGATTGTCCAAGTGCTCGGTGAGTGAGAAACTCTGGATCCAGTGTGTGTCTTTAAGTGTCTGTTTTATTCTGAGCTTGACATGTTTGTGAGCAGCCTGTGAAAAATGAACTTTGTAAGTTGCTATAAGTAGAGCGGCAGAGTGTGAGTGACTTCAGGCCCCAAAGACGCCACAGAGTGTGATGTCTTTCGAATGTTTATCTAGCCCAGGACACAGAGCAGTCGCCCTAAAACTATGTGTAGCATACATGATGCTTTAGGTGGATGAATCACCAGACACATTGTTTGTGGCTGAGTGGGCCTCCTATCAACAGTCTGGGCATGCTGTGTATGGCTTATTAGAGTTTGACCAGGACAATGATAATAGAACAAAGCCTTTGAGCTGAAATAGGCAGACAACTGGAGTCACTCTGTGCATCACACACCCCACACACTCTTTGCTGTTGCATATTGTGTTGTCAGTGCTGGCAACCATCACTTCTCCAGTGCCCTAAGAGCACCTCTATACTTGCTTGTGCATGGGGGCTGTTCCACTCACGTTCTGTTGGCAGTTTATTAGGAACACAGACCTAAAACGAACAGTGTAATACAGCAGTTCTACATTAAATCATCTTTCAGGAAGGTTGTAATGTTGAGTTTGTGTTGAAACTGTTTCAGACAGGTGCTGATTCAACTTTATGGTCTCTGTGGAGACTCAGTTTATGATGCTATTAAAGCTAGACATAATGTCCACAATGTACAATTCAAGCCCATGAAACGAACAGGGAATTAATATTTATTTGCTTTTAAATGGAGCTTTTGTTGAAGAATGTCCCTAATTTCCAGAAATTACACATTCATTTCCAGGAAATGTCTGGATATAATTTGCAAATTTTAGAGCCATAAAATAAGAAGGATCAATGCTACAGTACTGGTTGGAGGAAATCTGCCATCTTGTGGATGTACTGTTTAGTCCTCCATGCTTTTGTCACAGCAATTTGCGTCATTATTATTATTATGGGCACTGGTGGCCTTAAATCAGCCCCACATCCACTGCAGCATGAACCTACAGGCTCTGACTCTTGTCTTTCGTGGTTTATCGATTCTTATCATTCATTCATGCCATTGTTCCTCTGTGTGTTCCACATCTTATCTGCTGGGAGTGACTACGCCTACAAGTCAAGTACAAACGATGTATGCTATAATGTTTAATGTCATGTTTCCTCAGCCTATACACTGTCATTTTGATTTTTATGTGACACATTCTAAAACATTCCCGCACAGCACTGTAACCATTGCTTATGTGGTATAGAACACATGGTTTGGTTGACCGGATGAGTAACACTATGTACTGTATATGTCACCTCTCATTTAGTATCACAAGCCGACCAGCCCTGCTGCCAAGAATAGAGTCCTCCCTGGGGATGAGAGTATTCCACAGAGCCCTTGTTTTCACTGGCAGGGCTGTTTCTTATAATGACCTGCATTTTTCTATTTTTGTTTGGGACACACAATTGGCCAATGTGCATCTGATTTTGGGGTTAGGTTTAGGATTAGTGAGTCAGAAGACAAGATAAGAGATTCTTTATGGTGACCCAGATAGTCCACTTGGAGTTGGTGACATACTGGTAGTTGTGGTATATCACATGTGTCACTCTCTAACTTGTATGCTTATGTGTTGCTTTAGATAATGAATATGTGGCTTGTGCAGTAAGTGAAAAGTGGTAAAAAAATGTTTTTCTGGTAAGTTGATCCATGATTTTCTTGGCTACTATCTTACCTCTTCTTACAGTTACTTGATGGGGAATCACACAGATGTGCTACATGCATGCTTCTCATAAAGAAGCCACTAAACCTGTTTGGTTATTTTTCGTGGTTACACATGTAATATGTAATGTAACAGGTAATATGTTCAGGGAGCTTGAGCTAAGGCTCACCTGTTGCCATCTTCACCTGTAGTTTAATAACCAGCACATTGATTGAGAACTTGAAACACTCTCATATGACAGAGGTGTCGGGCCAAACTTTCCGGTAACTAAAATTAAATCCACATCCTCCAGCACTATGCCAGCAATCAGAAACCGTGGTATGAGTAAAAATAACATAAATCCCAGTGATACTGGGCTGTGGAGTTGTACGAGCACAGTTTCCTGTGCCAAAACAAACAGGGATTATTGTTCAGAGTTTGGGAACACTCAGCTTGACCCCCAGTTGAAGTGATTTGGATTTAGTCTGGCTAACAACTGGCTTGTCTGATCATCTGACTGCTTGAGCCTTTTCTGCCTGTTGGACTTTACCAATGTTGCATTGTTTCCAGATCTCAGCAGTGTTACAAATTACAAACAAGAGAAGATTATACAATCACAGCAAAAGTTTTCTAAAAAGTTTTC